GCACGAATCCATGATCAATAAGTACTAATTTCTATGGGACGATATAATATAAAAACATTTTATTTTTCTTTTAGTTTAATGTTGGTGGCACATAAAAGAATATCCAAACATCACTTGGTCGGATAGGTGACAACTTTATTAATTTTGTAACATATTTATATAATGGATGACAAGTTCACAACACAGGCAACTAATTAAATTAAATAAATACAAATAATTGCATTATAATTAAACTTAGCATTCTTTATTATTGCAATTACAAAAAATAATAAAAAAAAAATGAGTTACCTCATTGTCTACTATTTTATTAATTTTTACGATTTCAAGATTTATACTTATTACTTCAATTCTCTTATTTCTTTAAATTTTCAAGTGTAGTTTTAGCTAAAATAAAATAAAATAAAATAATTTTCACACACGCATATATATATATATATATATATATATATATATATATATATATATATATATATATATATATATATATATATATATATCGTTCTACAATTTTTATTTAAAAACAAGTTTGTATTCTTCAACGCTACCTGAACACTAATGACATAAAAAGCTATGATCAAAGAAGAAAGAATTTGGACAAAGACTAGGAAGTCATGTACGTACAAATCTCAAATCTCGTTGTCGAACTAGTTCAAGGACAATTGTGCGCGGCGGCGATGTGGCAGCACATGAGGGGTCGACGTGGAGGGTTGTGTCGGAGATGCCTAGGGAGGTGAGGAAAATTATGGCGTACGTGGCGGCGTGGAGGGGGAAGGTGTTGGTGATTGGATCGGAAGGGTTTGGTGGAAGATAGTCGAGTTGCGACTTCGAACAATGTCGAATTCATAATCGAGTAATTTGATTGGTTGTGTTCTTTTTTCCTAAGTACTAGGTTTCATTCGGTTATCAACATTGTATTAATTTTGATTAGATGAGACTGAATTGATTCAGAGGTGACTAACTAATTATTTAGTTAGCTAGTAACGAAGATGTCCATTTTTTTATAGATTAAATGTTGTATTGAAATTGACATAATATGTGATTTGTGTGTGTAAAATCTCCTATTTAAAAAAATAAAGTAATTGTTTGAAGAATGAAATTGTATGTCTCATTTTTCAATTACCATACAAATTTAATTTGGTGAAAGCTTACATTACGTAAATTACAATCACCCATGAGGTATGGTCAAATTACAAAAAACCCTCTTTTGTTTGGATAATTACAACCACTCCCTCAACTAAAAATCTTTTTACACGTTCACTCTTGCGGTTTCAAATTTCGTGAAATTTTCGAGATTATATGGATTATTATCACTTTTGTACCCAATTTATCATATTCGAACTCCACATTTTAAAGCAAGATGATAATAATATGTGTTTTTAAGCTTGTATATATCAGAACGCGGTGCATCAGAAACTCTATTTTTATACAAAACAAGTACAAACTAGAGCATATTTCACGAAATCTAGATGATTATGCATTATAATGGTGGAGATGTAAGAAAAAAATCATAGCTGAGGATAAATATAATTATCCAAACAATAGGAATTTTTTCGTAAATTGACCATACCTCAGGGGTAGTTGTAATTTACCCTTTATTTAATCAATAAAACTTAATAGTGAAAATCGAGTGGGACCTGATTAAACTCATCATAAACCCTACAAGAAAAACCCTAAAAGTCAACAATTTTAAAGTCAAACAATTTTTGGGTATAGAGTAATTTCAATTTAGGCTCTCCTCCCAAACACACCTTTACGCCTTTCTGCTCTCACACAGTCCCCTGTCTCACTCCAAACTCGCCGCCGCCGCCGTTCACCATCTTCGCCGGAAAATAGAGTAACATGTCTAACGATAATGGTTCGATTAAAATGGTGGAGATTGAGAATAAAGGTAGAGCACTGGTTTCTTCTAGGCCGCTGAATGCCGGAGAAATAGTCCTCAAGGACTGTCCCATCCTCCTCTACTCCGCCGCCCCTCACGCCACCGCCGCCGCCGCCGCCGCCAATTACTGCGCCAATTGCTTCAGAACAATCCCGCCGCACTCCGCAACAACAGTCCCTTGCCCTAATTGCGCCGCCGCCTCACTCTTCTGCACTCCACACTGCCAATCCATCGCCCTCTCCTCTTCCCACACCCCATTCGTCTGCCAATCCCTAATCCGCCTCCGCGCCGCCGATTCTCCGCTCCTCCACCACCACCACGACCGCCTTATCCAAGCTCGGTTCCTCATCTCCGCCTACAATCTCGCGACGGCGTCCCCCTCCCATTTCCAAACCCTCCTCTCACTACAAGGCGAACCAATTAAAGACGAGGAATCCATTTTCCTACACTCGGTAATTTCGTCGATTCTCCCTGCATCGTCAAATCTCCGGCAAATCGGATTCTCATTAGAGCTGACCGCCGCCCTACTGGCGAAAGACAAGCTGAACGCATTCGGGCTGATGGAGCCTTTCGACCAAGACGTCGAAAACAGGTCCGTTAGGGCTTACGGGGTTTACCCACGCGCCTCGTTCTTCAACCACGACTGCCTGCCAAATGCTTGTCGATTTGACTACGTCGACTCAGTCCCCGATTTGAGCAACACCAGCATTGTTGTGAGGGTTATCCACGATGTACCCGCGGGGAGAGAGATTTGCCTGAGTTATTTTCCGGTCAATCTCAAGTACTCCGAGAGGCAAGTAAGGTTGAAGGAAGATTACGGTTTTGTCTGCGATTGCGACCGCTGCAAAGTGGAGGCTAATTGGTCGGATAACGAGGAAGAAATGGACCAAGAAGATGATGACATGGATGGTGACGACATGACGGGTGATGACGACAACATGGATGGCGAGGACGACGATGACATGGCGAAAGAAAACGACGATTTCCCACATGCGTATTTCTTCGTGAGATACATGTGCGGTAGAGACAATTGCGGTGGTACGTTGGCTCCTGTACCGCCGGTGGATGCTCGAACATCGTCTGTTATGGAGTGTAATGTTTGCGGCAGCTTGAGCAACTCCGAAGACTGAATAAATAGACATAGACAAAAAAAAGGTGCAATTTCCGTGAGTTTTTTTCTTCTTTTTTTTTAATAACTTGTTTGCCCGTGTTTTTCTCGTTTTATGACTTGATCTTTTGCTTTGATAGTATCTACGATTTTCTTTTTGTGGGGTGCTCTGCATTACCTACATTGATTTATTGTTGTAGTAAAAAGGATTTGTTTTCATGCGAAGAGGTGAAATTGGTTTCTTGCTCTAGTCGGGAGTTTTCTCGTTTCGATTTTTTTAAAGATGGTCGAGAATTGAGCTTTAGTATCAAGTTGTATGGTCTAATGAGTGACAGACTTTTATTTTATATTGTAGGTAAGAGTACTTACTTAAATGGAGTCAGTTTCGCACCGGAAAATTTTCGACTGGCTCCGATCATTGTACTGTATTAGTCTGCAAATTGCAAATTACCATACATTCGCTATCTATATAAAATACACGCACACATGTTGGTGTGAGTGTGTAAACGAATGATACACATCTCTATTCGATATACATCCATTCGATATTATCTTTTTTTGGTACTCGTAAAATTCTAAACGGGGTTTAAAAGAAGGAAAAAAAACGGCATTTCGGAATACCGATTAATGGTCCAAGGCACACGAACATCAGATGATTACACTCTCGTGCACAAATAACAAAGATTTCACTATTTATATAGAATGTTGATGAATCAATCTCCTGCAAAATGCCTACTTAATTCTCATGCACTTGTACAATACCTCACCAAACTTCTGAAACATGTGCTTCTTCAAGTACATCTTCTCAACTTTTTCTCTACCTTTTAATCCCATTTCTTGCCTTGCATTTGGATTCTCGAGCAAGAATTGAAGATTGTTCGCAAGAATTCGGGCCCCCGCCCTACCTAAAGGATGAAGAAGACCGGTTATATTGTGTTCAACAATCTCTCTTGTTCCTCCAGAATCAGTTCCAAGCACCTGCATCGCCAAAAAAAAAAAAAAAAACCGAAACTCCTTCAATAAGTATCCGCTTATGCAATGTGTTGAAAATACCATAATTGAAATTGATTTCAACTTAAAAAAAAAAAAAAAAGATTCAGGGCCGTACAGGAAGTCCAAATGCCATGGCTTCGATTGTTACTCTTCCGAAGGTCTCCCCGATTCCCTGCAGAAAAATAATGCACGAGTAATTAGATAAGACATCGGATAAGTTTAAGAACAACAAATTACTTTTGTTAGTTGTTTCGAAGTAAAATTATTTCGTTTGAATTCATATAAAGCTCTATGTGCATGTCTTTCGTATTTCAAATCTAAAGAAAATGTTGTTACCTGCGAATTCATGACATAAACATCCGCTGCAGCATAAAGCGAAGCAACACGAGTAGTAGATGGGGTCCATATCACAACCTTTGACAAATTCGAATGCATCGACAGAAAATTAAGTAGCGTCTTCACATAAGGTACTTTATTGCTCTTAGACCCCACCGAACCAACAAGAATCTTTAGATTCCCACCCTTCTTTCCAATATTACCCTCAGACAAGAGTTTCCTCAAGCCAGAAGAATCTCCATCAAACACCATCGAATCAAATTCACTCGACAACCTTAAATTCGTCTGATCTGTCCGAGGTTGTTCGATCAAGAAACGCCCTGCTTCTAGAAGCAACAGCTGACCCTTCCCCGGGTTTATACTGCTCAACGAAACGGCGAGCATGTCATCTTCGCTCAGCCCCATTTCTTCTCTAACTGCGCTTCTCAATAACCCTCTCTTCTCCATCATCTTCTCTGTGGAGAAAGATGGAGTGTTCAACGAGCATGGAATTCCCGCCACAAATGCCAGCTCGTCGTTAACGGAGAGAGGTACGAGCGCAGGCTCCGATTTTAATTGGATTTTTTCTTCCTCGCACCACGATAGCCATTGTTTGGATTGCGATTTGGACAGAAAAATCAACTTCTTCACTCTGTTTAGGACAAGCTTCGAACGGTCGAAGTACTCTCTTCTGTTCTCCATTATCCACCACATTATTTGGCTTGAACCGAGCACAGTTCGTGACAGGTATTGCTCTGAGACCATATATAATAAAACACAATAAATGGTTTTAGATGAAAAAAAACCTAAAATTAAAAAAATTGTAGCACTTGGATTTTTCTTACCAATCCAGGATGAACAGACAGCAGAACCTGCAATGATGATATCGGCTTTCATGGCTGTTTTGAAGCTAAGATCGGTTTTGTCCTCGAGAACTTTGATTTTTCTTCTAGAAAGTTCCGACATCAATCCGCCTCGTTTGTTTAGGACAATAACCGATATTGTGGCCCCACAGCTCAGAAACTCCGTTGCAAGTTCCAGCATGGCGAGTGGAGCTCCAGTCATAGACAGCTCATGGAAGATCAAAACAAACTTTCTTGACCAAACTAAACGAGCAAAAGCTCCCTTCCTATCACAAGTACCCGACCTTTTCTCAGCACTCCACTCCAAAATCGAGTCCTCCACAGATCCAAACGGGCCCACAAGAAATCCGTAAGTCGTATTTTTCTTCGGTATGATTTCCTCTGTTTGCATATCAACTTCGCTTTCCACTTCCTCTTCAGCCATCGCCTTTGGCTTACTACTAACTGGTTTCTTCCTACGAAGAGATCTCTTACTTCTCCTCTTCGAGGGCTTGTTTTTATCCAACGTAGTGTTCTTCGCAAGAACCACATCCATAACACTCTTATTCAAACTCAACTCATTAGTATCGTTTTTCAACTCAACGGCCGCAGAATCGACTTTAGCAATTAAGTCCCTCCTCCGATTCTTGATCTGTGGTTCGAATTTATCACCGCCCGATTCGCCACCATAGCCACCGCTGAAGAGATCTTCCTTGTTGTCACCGTGGGCCCATTTCGACTGGAAATAAAATCCGGCGTAAGCCCAAAGAGTGATTAGAAGCAACCAAAGTACAATGCGGTTACTTCTAAGACAGTGAGAGCTAAACACACCGCTACGTGCGTCTCTTCTAGGAGTTCGCCCCGAGTTTAATCTCCTGAAAGAAGGGGAACCCCTCGGAGTTGACTTCCCCGACGATGGTGACTTTAAGCCGCCTCCACCACCACCGCCGCCGCCTCCGCCAGGCCTCAGTGGTGATAGCCTAACTAAAGTTCCTTCATCCATCTCAAAAAATTATCAATTACCAAGGCTTATATAACATTTCAAAAAAATGAACCTATATACAAACAAATTTCTTGAAATTAAAATCCAAGAAACACCACCAGAGTTGGTTATTTCCTGCACCAGAAAATCAAACATTTCATTTAAAAAAATAAATTGAAAACAGATGTAAAATCAAAACTCTCTGAGATGAAATTCCTAATTGTATACATACATTATCGCCAAAATAAAATAAAATTATGAGCAATCTTAGCGTTCAATACTTGAATAGTTAAGCTAGCATTACACTAACAATAATTAAATAAATGAATAAATAAATAAATAATGGATTACTGTGAGCCACATAATCAAAGAAATGAATATTAGAAAAAGGAAATCCCCAAATACTCACCAGGATTAGAAACTCTGAACACAGTGATTTTCGAACAAAGCTTTGAGCAAGTGAAATGTGATTCTCTACAGAAAGTAAAATCGATCTCGAAAAAGTTTAACTAAAGAAGATCGCACAACTAAAACAATTTGTTTGATTTATTTGGGGGAAATCAGAAGATCTCGAGTGCAGCTTCGAATGCCACCGACAAAATCCCAACGCTTGTATAATACTGTATCTATAACTGTTACAGCACCGAATTTTTCACTTTAGTTCCTCAGCTTCGGTGAATTCAAGAGAGAGAGAGAGAGAGAGAAAGTTGCACTGAGTAATGGAGTTAGAGAGAGAGAGAGAGAGAGATATGATGCATATATTGATATTTCATATTTATATATATAGATAGATAGATACAGCAAACATATATGAAAGAAGTTACTAATACCAATTGAATAAAAATGGATTTAAAAAATTAATTACGTCTAATCTTAGCTTAGAGGAGAGATTAATGTTTGTTGTTTGTTATACTATTAGTATTAGAGATGTAATTTAGATTGGTTGAGTGTAAATGGAAGCGCTAATTTCAAAGCATGGCTTCATTTAATGCGTTTAAGACATTAGTCAAATAGGAAACACATACACAATTAACAACTCATAGGCTTACTTAATTTTTATATATCCCATCATAATTATTGTAGACAAAAGTGTGGATTAGATTTGATATGGATTTGGATCAAATCATTGAACGCCCCATAAAAAAAAAACAATTAGTGAAAACTCTCATTTTGAAATTGCATTGAAATAAGTCAACTTTTTAGAAATAATTAGGGATAACTTATTTTTATGTTTTTTCGACGTAAATCGACTACGTTGTTTGCTAGTTGAATAACATATTAAAATGTATAAAAGAAATATAGCTCTGCCACACAATGTGTTGGTGTCGGGCCCGTAGATGAGGAAGTTATCGATTTATGAGAGGAATGACATTTCAATTCTGACGGTGGAGATGTTTGATGTCTAGACTGTGATGATCGATTGAAGTATTTTGGTTTCAGGCTCCTCAGCAACAATGGAGGTTTTTGACGTCCAGATGGTGGTTCATCAATGACAACCATCGGCGAGGAGGAGGTAATAATAGGATTTAATACTACTCAAAGAAAACGATTTTTGTTTAATGAAACAAATGAGATCGAACCTTTCACTATTATAACGTTAGGGCTATATCTAAGAGTCCATAAAAAAAGATGAAATTTATAAAATGAAAATAAGTATCAATTTGACATTTGTTATTTTCAAATTGGCATCTCCTAAAATTAAGTGAAAATTAGTTTATATTATTCTAATATTATTTATTTATTTAAATATGAATTTAGCACTCCCAGGTTCCATCCAACAAGAACTATAACCGACTTATACTAAACATAGCCAAGGCATTTGTCATCAAAATTAATTCGATTTTGACTTTGTGCAAAAAGATGCTACTTGATATGGGCGTCCATTTAATAGGTCCTTATTTAATTAAAAAAAATATGTTCTCAAAAAAGAGAAAGAAAAAAACCCAAAAAAAAAAGGCACCCAAAAGAGAATCCACATAACATAGGTAAATTAGAGAACGTCAAGTTACGAAGAAACTCCTCACATGTTGGTATCTACAACAAAAAAAATCCCCTCAACCATGAATTTTCCTACACGTTCACTGTTATGATGTCAAATTTCGTAGAATTCTCTGAATTATGTATAATATTCTCCAGTTTGTTGACCGTTTAAGCCCATTCAAGCCTCCACATTTTGAATCTAGATAATCATAATATCTTTCTATTTGCTTGAAAATATCATATAGCGGTGTATTAGAAACTGCAATTTCGCATAAACTAGACAAAATTCTACATAATCCATAAGATTCTAATAAGCAATTTACTATCAATGGAAATAAATATTAAAAACATCTCCCCTTTTTTAATAAATAAAATAAAAGAAAATGGAATAAATTCTCATCAAAATGTTTAATAGTTGAACAAAACCAGGAGGAAGCAGCAGCAATTTATTCTCAACCCAAATACATACATATATTAACACAAAGACCATTCAGTTTCTCATACGAAAAAATATAATAAAAAAACCAGTTAAAAGATGTGTCTTCAATAATACCTTGATGAGATTGAAAATAATAACCCAACAAACATTAAAAAGAACAGAAGAAACTAAGGAAGCAGAGGCTGCACATAGTGTACTTTGTTATTCGATTACCTTTTTTTTTCAAATATTCTTGCAAGCTTCACGAAAAAAAAGACTAATGCACAACGATAACCTGCATCAGACAATCAAATTCATTAGCTTGCGATAAATATCGATATAAGATCCCCAGTTTTATTATAAATGCGCTTACATCATAAAAGAACAAGGAATTGCCACCCGTCAAGCTGCAGAGTTCTTCCTAAATTTAAGCAGCATGATCAGGCGTTTCTTCAGACACCTAACCAGCAAGACAAAAGGAATATACATTATGAATAAACCAACCCGTAAAAACTTCCATATTCGAATTAACGGGCAGAGTAAAAGATTTCTTCTTATTCTAGAAAAATGCAACAATTGTTTTTTGTTCGGGATTCATTTCTGCTATTCTTAGCAGCAATTCTGTCACAATTTGCACTAGTTCTCATCCTCAGCCACAAACAAGGTTAAGACAAGGAAAGGGAACTGAAAATCCCAAAATAGTTGACAATTAATTGATCAATATTAAAATTTTCTTTTTTTTAGCATACCACCCCACCTCCCAACCCCGCAAAAGAAAAAAAAGAAAAAAAAGGAAGAGCAAAAGGCAACCAACAAACAAGAAAGACGATTAATTTGTTAAAAGTGCAGATATTCGAGAGCAAACCTAAAAATAAGGTCATTACCTAAATTACATCAGAATACGCAGTAGCCCAAAGTGCTCCAGATCAAGATCTGTAGAACTCAGAGGGCAGCCTTAGGAGAAGGCCTTCAGCAAAACCACACCCAAGAAACTCCGCTACACCAAACAGATGGAAGAGACACCGACTCTATATATTTTTATTTTATTTTATCGGCTAATTTCCAATGGGATTCCAGCTAACTAGTTACTTCACTGGTCAAATTTCATCTCCGTGTATCTGCAAATCAATCCATGGAACGATAAGTAAAGAGCATCTACAGCAAAAGCATAAAACTGTAGGCGGTATAACAAACTTGCCTGCGAGGATTCTTTTGCCTCTGCCCAAAGTCGTTGTTTGCAAGCTCTGTAGAGAGAGAAAATATTGAACTCTTTAAAGGGAAACAAAAGCAGAAAAAGTTTAATGGAGCAAAATGTTATTAACACTTACCAGGCCTCTGTGCAGGTTTCCAATCATTACCAACTTTTGCTGAATTATTTTCTTTGCTGCAATGTGAATTATATTAGAACAGATTAAATATAGGCCCACAAACAGAACTTCATAACAGGAAAAATTACATCTAGCAAACATAATATGAGAGACTGAAATTAGCAAACAAACAAGGTGCACTGTACAAACCAAAATAATGGTAAGAAGGCTCAATCCTTATATACCTTGAAGCAGCTGCTATATTAGTCTGTCCAGTCGGACGAGCATTATATGAGCCATCAACAATATATGGAGGACAATATTGTGCACCCAATGCTCCAGCAGCACCAGCTAAAACGGGTAGCCTGAGTGGTTTCATAATAAAATGATATATTAATACTAGATTAATAAAAATATGAAAAATTAAAATGTAATGCGAGATGAATAAAAAGTTTGTCCACGTTGAAACAACCATAAAGTGACAAGAAATATAATTTTAAAAACTGAATTAGAAGAGCACATCTATTCGTGTATAGATATTACCAAGTCATTTCCGAACTCCCCAGCCCTTGTGGTTGACCAACATATCCAGGAAAGGCCATGCCAACAGCTGGAACGCCCATTCCGCCAGGATGCTGGCCTCCAAATTGCATGACTGTAAAATTTGCACCAAACAGAAGGTTTAAATGTAGTTTAAGCTCAAGTAAGTTGACGGAATATATAAACACGATATACCAGATTATAATTCTTGATACATAAATTCAACATTAAAAACTAAACAACCTAAACAGTGCCGCTTTTTTACACTCGTTGCATTCGAAAATTCTGATTAAAGAAGGGGGAAATTGATGTGAAGCACAAAGACAAACAAAGAATAAGATGAACACTTCTCTATTCAAGGAAGTAAAAAAGTATATAGACATATTCTACATGAAATAAAAAGTTCTTTTTCTTCATGAAACAATTGTGCAGGCACATTACCTGGCAAGAAAGCAGGAAAGTTTTGATCACCGTGACCACTCCCCATATTTCCAGAAACTCCCATAAGCTGAGTTCCACCATACATGAAGGAGCCTTTTCCACTGCCTTGCACACTGCCTTTTCCTTTAGCAACCAATGCACTCTTGGATTCTGAAGCAGATTCCAGCTCTCCAGATTCAAATGCATTCCCAGCCCCAGCAGCTTTAGGTGGAGAAAGAGCTTGTGGTCCACTAGGATAACGTTGCGTAAACTGTTGAACTGAAGATTGGGCACGGCCTTGACCAGGATTTTTCTGGAAATTTTGTAACTGGTTTGGTGGAGGAACCCTGTTGACTGGTTGGTAGGCCATTTGTGGCGAGTTAGTTACCCCTCTACCTTGACCCCTCAACTGAGGTTGACCATAGCTAACAGACGAGGAGCCAGATAGTGGCATCTGCATAGTGTTTGAAGGCTTCCCAGTCATTGCAGAAGGTGAATTATCAATGTAACGATTATCCATATGGATAGAGTCTACTATATTCTTTCCTCGCATCGTGGCATTGGATTGTGCTATAGAGAATCTCTCATCCGCTACTGATTGCTGACCATTTCGATGAGCTGTGCCAGCTTGGGCACCCCCCTTGAGTGGCACGGTGTTATCTTTGGTGGAGGAACCAGTGGGATAAAATGGAGGAGAAGCAATGCTCAAATTGGAGGCGACTTGTTTTCTGGGCTGAACCACGTTAGGTTTTGCATTAGACACAGGTTCCTTCTCGACTAATTTCCCAGGTCTACAAATAAAACATATAGCGTCAATGAGAGTCTCATAACCAACCCAAAGAAGCAAAATAAGAGGATTTTACTCACTGTTTGTTTCGGGTGATAGGCGCCTCATTATTGGTCTTAGAAGATGGCTGATACCTTCGAGGTCCTCGTCCCCTGACACTTTTAGAACTATTGTTCTGATTGTTACTATTCTGGGTGTTATTATTGTTGTATTCTCTGGGTGTATTTCCTTGAGCATATCCATGGTCTGTGCCTCTGTTTCTACCACGGCCTCTTTGACGACCCCGAGAACCTCTTCTAGGCTGCAATTCAACCCATATTAGACAGGAAGAAACTAAAGAAATGAAAACACACGCAATACCTAGTTACTGGCATAAGCAAAAATCACCTCCTCGTGATGCCTTTCCTGAATAGTAAGCTCTTCAAACTTATCATGTCCCCATTTCCTATCATCTTTAGATTCCCATAATTTTCTTCCACCAAGCGTTCGCCTATAACAACAAAGTACACACAAGTAAGCAAATCTGTTTTTTTTCTGAACGAACTCTAAAAAAGATTAGTAATAGCATGGCAGCGTAATTGCAAGGTCTTTGAACTAACAATGATCTAAAACCTGCATTGTATATAATGTCAGAAAAAAAGGCACTTCTCATTAAACTTAAATAAGTATATTCCAGTAAATGTATATCGCTTCAATTTAGAATGGCTCTTCAGATATGCAAACTAAGCTAAGTTTCAAAGGCATGTGACAACTTCTACTCTAGATAGTTGAAAAATGAAAACTAATAAGATAAATACAGGAACCAAAATGAGTATCAAGCGCGCATGTTTTGTCAATTGAAGAACTTCAAACAATAATATAGTTGCATTTTCACTTTAACCGAAGTATTCGAGTGGTCATCCTAATCATCCATATGCCGACTATATCTGCTAACATGGACCCTTCTTTTTCAAGTGAATGTACGAAGCACAAATATAGAGCATGAAAATAATGAATAGTATCATATCCTATATTTAGCACACAAAAACAATAACGCAATGGTGATTAAACTAAGCTTATATGTTTTGCTACATATCTCTTTCTGCAGGATGCTCTTAAACCCACATAGTTAAATTGTATATTAAAACACCTTAAATTTCAAAACAATGTTTTTCAACAAATTAGAGGAACTTAACCAACCAATTTAACCCTCTTTCAAACCTACAACTCTTCAAAATGTGCTAATTTCTCATTCTTGCCCAGATTCTTCATATTCTCTTCTAATTGTAAAGGAACAAACTAACTAACAGAAAACCAAACCCAGACCAAGAAATTAACATGTCATCTCATGTCATCTAAATAATGATCAAACTCACCCATGCTCAACAGGTAAACATCCTAGTCCAAGTCAACTCACTCCGTAAAACAACAACTAAAAAAACCTCAAGAAAAATAAAATCATTACCTATGTCGCCCACCAGCATTGTCGCGAAATCGGTCATCGTGCATATAAAATGCCCCCGCTGTCGGCACAGAGAAAGGCTCAATTTCCTTCCTCTCCTCCTCATGCTGACCCTCGGCAACATTGTTGTTTTCATCATTCATCTCACCACCACCAATACTTCCTCCCTTCTTCTCCTCCGCCAGATCTCCGTCAACAACAGCAACTTCTTTCGCACCCACAATTCTTTCAACTGCCACCGCCTCCACACCCCCACCGCCACCGCTCGCTCGATACTCCACCGCCACTTCCGCCTCCAACTCCTCCACATACTCTTCATCCAAATCATAATCTTCCTCCTCCTCCTCCAATTCATCCTCGTACTCCGCCGCAGCCCCTTGAGATTCCCCATCGGAGTCGTCAATCCTCCTCGGCGGTTGTTCCCTACGATTCCCCCCTCCCTCCCCCTCCTCGTCGTCGCTCGCCTCTCTCCGCCGCATCTTCAACGACAGCTTCGCCTCCTCCGGATCGCTCTCGTACTCAATTTCCTCCTCCGCCATCGCCAGTAAATCGAAACACACAAAAAAAAAAACTTCAAACGCAGAAAAGAAAGACAGGAGTTAGGGTTTTTGGTATGTGATCGGAGATTCGAAAAACCCTAGAAAATCCTACAATTAATTTAGGGTATATATTTTGGGGGATTTCCAGTATTGAATTCTTTGCGGACTTCAAAACTAGTCAAAATTTACCAATCGTAGGGTTATATAGAAGAACGGGGGGGTCATGGAATTATCTCATTCTCCAGGGTGTTTTCGGTAAATTCACTTGCCTTTTCGTTTTAGTTGGGTCTTCGTTGTGATCGTTATCTGGATCTACACACGGCCCAATCCGGGGCCCAAATAGTTTTTTTTATGGTAAATTACAATAAATCCCTAATGAATACTTAAACTATATTTATACCCCCTTTTGTTTGCAAAACTATAACTTTGCCCCTCAAATTAAACGGTCGATACAATTAACACCTAATAAACTAAAAACCTTAAAATTACACGACAACGTTTATAGGGTTAAAATTGGTATATTTGAAAAAAATATGTTTAGGCCCCGTTTGGGGGGAAGATTATTGTTGAATGACCATCTCAACCAAAAGCTTAAGCTGTTAGTGAAATGTATCATTTAATATTAATATCTCCAATACGCCCCCCTCAAGTGCAGGCGAATTACATTTGAAGCCTTGCACTTGAAATATTTTTATATGGGTGGCTGTGTGATTCGAACTCAGGACCTTTCATTTGGCCTGACTCTGATACCATGTTGAATGACCATCTCAACCAAAAGCTTAAGCTGATAGTGAAATGTATCATTTAATATTAATATCTCCAATAATTATCTATGATGAACTAAGTAGTTGGACTTTGTTGGATGTTTGGTATCCCCAATAATTTGTCGGGTCGACCTACAGATATTATGTTATCATGGTTTATCTTGCATTTTAAGCATATTTTTTGTTGGACCTTTCATGGTCCAATAAAACAATTGGGTTTCATTAGATTATTTAATCTTATCTTGACTAATCTTATCTTGGCAATCAAACGTGGCCTTAGAATATAAACGAGTAAGTTATTGTTAAAACTGGAGATGTACAAATCTTTAACTGAAAGTCTAACCACGTCGTGGGCTGCCCCGATTCGCAGACCTTTTAACACGATGGGCATAGAAATACTCAAACAATTTGCAATGTCCGCAATAATATTTTCGCAAGTCCATTGTTCGCATCCAACGCCTAATATAATTGCTAATTGTGGTGGTGTAAGATACTGCGGTGTCAGATTTCTCGAGTTGGGACTATTTTATTAAATATTTTTTAGATTAACCCTAACACACACGGTTAGAGTAATGCGATTTATATTTTTCGTACATTCAATTATCTACCAACACTTTCATTATTTCTTAGGGAATTTAATTCAAGTACATCCAAACAGGTAAAATAAAACCCGGAATATCGATCATTCTATAGGTGTTAATGGAACTTCGATCCAGACGATGACTTTCCCATAGACTTCGAGTTTCCTGAATATCTACATTTATTTCCACAACTCGCGACACATTTCTCCGCTTTCTCGAAATCTGCAAACATCGATTTTAAACAATTTAATTGCATATTATTTGTCGCTTTATATATATATATATATATATATATATATATATATATATATATATATTCTACTTACCCTTGCCAAAATTGGCACAGTGGTTAACTGCACAACCAGATTGACAGTAGCTTAGCGCGGTCGGAACCGAATGGCCGTCATCTTTAATAATGCATTGAACTAAGCATAGCAAACTACACACGATTATGGGTTTTTTTTCGACGAAACAACCGAGTTCACAAGCTTCAAAGCAGGGCTTGAAATCTGCTGATGCTTCTTTTATTGCAAATACTAAGAACATAAACACCAAAACTATGTGTGTTGCCCTAATTCCAATGTTTCTTTTTCCATACATAGTTGAATTTTTTTATTTATTTTTAATTGTTTTTTCTAACTATGATGTGATTCACTATATGATAGATATCTCTTTCATTTGAGAATGGAAATATATAGAGTAGAGGGAGTTAAATTTCAGTGATGAGATTGCACGTATATATCCATAATATATCATATTATGTTCCATTAATGATATTATTACATGTTACATGTAATAATGTATATGTAATAATAATGTTAGGGCAGATTACTGGCCCCCTGAATTATGGTTAAATTACGAAATCTCCCGCCTTATTTAGGTAATTACAGTCATCCCTCAACTATCATACGAAAATATCCCTCCAAAGATAAATTTAGGGATGTTAAATCGGTAAAACTGAACCGAAAGTGTGGTACGCCAACATTTCATACTGTATCGAACTGAATATACGATTTGGTTGGGTAAATAACCGAATTACATAAATTTTATGTAAGAATATTTAAAAGGAGGGGTGACTGTAATTACCCGAACAAGAGAGGTTTGCCTTCATGTACATAAAAAAAATGTTTTAATGCGGCCCTCGTCGTTATTGTTGGTTTTTAGACCTTTGACCTTAATACCGTTTCATCTAAGTCTGAAAATTACAAAAAAACCACCCCTCTCAGTTTAAATAATTATTCGAACCTTATTATTTTTATGTCAAAATTAATTGTAAAGCTAGTACAACTTTTTAAATATTTAATTGTACAATAACATATGAATACATGTTTTGGTTTATTTGTATTACGTCGTCTTAAATTAATTTTTGCCTTTTATGTTCTTAATTAATTGGTTTGTATAACTACAGTTAAACATCTACAAATTAATTCAGTCGGGACTAGCAAAATTTTATTAATTTAGTAAAATATTAAATTATCAACTTAATAATTTAGTAGTTTTTTATCGAGTTGGGACAAAAAAAAAAACTATCATTTAAATGAGATTATTAATTTATCGAGATTCAATGTATTTAAATACATATATTTCTTCTTCGACGCATGGGGCGTATATTGAGGAATCCCTACTCCTAGCTAGTTCGTTTGAGTCATGTGATTATTCGTTCGTAAAGCGTTCTGGAAATCAATTAGCGCATTGTCTTGCGACTAGATTTGGTTCTTCTTGTATTGAGGGCTCTGCACTACCTTTTGAGTTGGTGTTCGATGCTTAGTAATAAATACCTTTTCTTTCAAAAAAGAAATATATAGATTTCAAATAAATGTTTATGGAAAATAATATTAGAACTAGTGCTAATACAAATGTGACAAAATATTGAGCAAATAATAACTCCAATTATTTTTCCTTATTTCTTATAGCCATACAAGGGTCTATTCTATGCTACATCAGGTGAAATACATCGGGTAAATCTTTACCATTCATATACATACAAATACACACACACACCCACATTGGTGTGTGTAGTAGATCAACGATAAAATTAAAATCACCCAATATAATCTCCACCAAATGTAGCATAGAAAGAACCGGATCAAATGCGAGGCGAGACTCCCAAATCGTTACATTTTTCAGTCTCACAGCCCTTCACACAGCTATCCACTTTGCCAAAATCTGCATAAAAAATATTGATTTTTTTTTTTTTTTTTTTTTCATATTATATAATTATATATATTAAATCAGAAAAAAAAGTTACCTTTGCCAAATTGGGAGCATTGATTAACGGCACAACCAAATTTACAGTAATCGACAGTATTTGGAGATGAGGAAGAAGGAAAAATGCAATGAGCTAAGCATTTAAATCCACACTTGAACATATTCTTTCCTTGTCCAAGACATTCAATAAGGCAAGTTTCATAGCATTCTTGGAAAGAAGCTGATAATACAGCTTGATGCTGTGTTGCAAATATCAACATAAGTAATACCAACACCACATTTTGTATCCTAGTATTCATCACTTAATTTGTAGGAACAATTTTTATTTATTTTTATTTTATAATATTCCTAAATATATATATATTTAATTCCCTAAATAAATTGTTGTTCTTGAATTAGATGTAGAGATTTAATTGGGTTGGTTGTTATTTATAGAGAGAGTTTTATCAATTTCAGTAATGAAATTGCACCTAATTCGTAATCAGATTTTGTGTTGGTGTCTGTAATATAACATATCTACATAATCTTGAGGGTAAATTACAAGCACCCCTGAAATATGGTCAAATTACGAAAACTCCCCACCTGTTTGGGTAATTATAATCACTCATTAACTATAAATCTTCTCACACGTCCACCCTTGTGGTTTTAAATTTAGTGGAATCTTCTAGATTATATGGAATATTCTCAATTTTGGACCCGTTTTATCCCATTCGACCTCCACATTTTGAAGTTAAATGATCATAAGATATGTTTCTTGGCTTGTACATACTAGATTGTGGTGTATCAGAAACTGTATACTTGCACAAAACGAGTACAAACTAGAGAACATTCCACGAAATCTAGATGATTATGTTGAATTTGAAACCATAGTAAGAAAAAAAATCATAGTTGAGAGGGCAGTTGTAATTATCCAAACAAGAGGAGTTTTTTTCGTATATTGACCATACCTCAGAGGTTGTTCTAATTTACCCTAAATTAAAATAAAAAATAAAAAATAGTTAGCAAACAAATCAGTCCTTTGATGGGTCCAAGTAAAAAATACGGCCCAAAATCCAATGACAAAATTGTTGTTTCAAGCCCAATTTCAAAGAAAAAATATGACTTGTTTTACACCACATTGCTATAGAATGTAATATTTTCACATAATATTATTTATTTATTTATTTATTTAATAGGTTTTTTTAGTTTTGATTATCAAATAGTTTGTTTATTTAGTTAATAGGGCATTTTATTTAATAATATATGATTTTTTTACACCATATTGATATAGAATGTAATGTTTTTTATTATGTTTAATACATTATAATTTTAAGAAAAAATAAAATAAAAAATAAAAAGAGGGATTTGGTATTTCCGGTTACAGTAGTACTAGTCCCAAATGGAGTTGAAAAGAAAATTTAAACTTCCATATCAGATGACCTGCAAATTATATAACTTGTGTTAATGCAGCCTAACTATTTCATCCAATTTTGCATAACAAAATTGATATGCTTAATTGACCCAACTCAATGGGCCTACAAATTATTTACCTACTGGGCCACGAGCCCAATATCGAAGACCACTATCACCGAGGCCCAATCACCTTCAAGCAAAGTTTGGGCCCGACAATCTCAACTAAGCTGTAAATAAAGGTTTGAACTCATTCCTTAAGGTAGGTCTTATTAACTGAGCAATACTACAACTGTAT